AAAAAAGATTTTAGTTATTATTTTAAATTTATCTAAAAAAAAGTTTTTCTTAAAAATAATAGGTTTTCATATTAATTTGGAAAAGATGTTAATGTTATTTATTTTAAAAAAACAGATTTTTATATTATAACAAGTTTTAACAAATTAATGATAACAATAATAATAATAATGGTAATAATAATGATAATAATAATAAATAATGATAATAATAATACTAATAATAATAATAATAATAATAATAATAATAATAATAATAATAATAATAATAATAATAATAATAATAAAGCAATAATGAATTTTAAATGTGCCAAATAACCCAACAATGTTGCTAACGCAGAAATGCGCTCATCGCAACCAGATCTAAATCGGACGAAACAAAATTTATCGCAAAGAAAAAGAAATTAAGCAAAAAATAGTATTATTGCTCACACAAAAATGCGATCATCGCAACCAGATCGAACTAACACAAATGTCACGCGTCATGCACACAAATGTGCAAACATCGTATCGACATAATTCGATCAAAAATTAATCTTATATATATAAACTCTAACAATTTAAAAATTATATATATATAAACGTAACAGTAATAGATAAAGAAAAAGAAATAACGGTAATAGATGAAGAAAAAGAAATAACAGTAATAGATGAAGAAAAAGAAATAACGGTAAAAGATGAAGAAAAAGAAACAACAGTAATAGATGAAGGAAAAGAAATAACGGTAAACGATGAAGAAAAAGAAACAATAGTAATGGATGAAGAAGAAAACTAAATAACGGCAAACGGCACTCACTCCTCTTAGGTTTCTTTCATTCTCCCCTTTTTTCCAACAAGGCAACACATGTATATATAGGGAACAAATTAGGGTTAACACCAAATTGTCAATAATGTCCCTAAAGCCCATTTTAAAGCCCAAACTAAATAATTAGTTAAGAAAAAATAAAATTTAAATAATAAAAAAAAACTAATAATCCTATTGATTCCTAAAATCAAAAATATTATAAAAAGAACAAAATTTTTTTCAATATTTTTTATTTTATGATTTTTTGGATATTTTTATGAATAATTTAGAAAAAAGTGAAAAAAATAATATTTTAAAAAATGATTTAATTAAAATACGAAAATAATAATTAAATAATAATAAAAAACTATTTTTGTTATTTTTTTAATGAAAGATAGAAAAAATTTAGAGTAAAAATAATAAAAAACAAAAAAAGTGACAAAGGTGAGATTCGAACTCTCAACCTCTCACACTCATAACTCCTTACACATGTCCTCCTGCCAATTGTGTCATTTTTACTTTTTAGAAAAAAAATGCATGCCATATGATATTTACCTGCAAAAAGTCAAACGACTACACAAATTTGTTAGTAATTGATTAAATGCAATAAAAATGCAATGAAATGCGACGACAAATCTTAGGGCAAAATTTGGGGTATTACAATATGAAAATCAATACTTTCTCCCACTTTTGTCAGCAATCAAAGATAAAATATCAAATAACATGCAATCAGATGCAACAAAAAGATAATATTCATTTGATAAAAAAACTAACGCCAGAGGCGCAAAAGTACATAAACAAAGAACAAAATAAGATAACAACCCAAACAAACAAACAACTAAGTGCAACTAAGGGTTAGGGTTGGATGGGGGAAGTCTAGAGAGAATAATATGAAACATATTTTCTTGATTAATCAAACATTCCTTCATCTTGCCCTTCTCTTTCTTCAGCTCAGCAAGAGTCTTCATAATTTCTGAAATTACTCCAGAAGTACAAGTCCCAGCAGCAGTATTCAAATTTTCAGAAACAACAACTCATTGTTCAGAGCCATTATCTGCAGTTTGCTAGATATCTTTAGAGACAACTTACTTGCCTTTATCAGCTGTGACATTAACCAAGGAAGCATTCACATTCCTTTCTTCTTCCTCTATCTCATGGGCAGGAAGTCATAGAGGAGCAAATGTTTGTTTCAAGACTTCTATGGCAGGTACGAGGCACGAATGGAAATTCTTTTCAGCAAATTTGTATCCAAAATTATTCATCCTTGAGATTTTGGAATCAACCCATTTTATATAGGTTTCCCAAGCCGAATCACTTTCTGCTGGATTGACAGATTTGAGACTAATCTGCCAACATCCAAACGATTCTTGAACTCTAGATCAAATTTCTGCAGCATCTTACCAACATTAGGATTTTTTGTCTTAGAGATGTTTGGGAATTTGATGGTTAAGTCATAAATATTGGGGTTGGGATCAGGACCATACATACTAGGTATTATAAGGGAAGGAAGATCTTCATGAGCCTTTGATTGGGGAGCATTGGTCAAGTCATCATGAGTACCCTCAGACAGTTGAATATTTGGAAATTCTGATTGGGGAGCATTAACAAATGAAGATATGATGGGTGTTGGTAGAGATGGTGGATGGAGTATAGGGGTCATGTAGCCAAAAGAAGAACGTTGTTCAGGTAATCATTTTTCAGACACAGTTCCTTTGGAATGTGATGGTGGTAGAGTTGAGATAGTGATGTGTGATGGTGATTGAGTGGGCAGTGTTGGTAAGACAACATTGGAAACACCAGAATTAGAGACACGAGACGAGTCATTGACAGCACACTCATATAATTGAATGTGATTTCGCCTTGAGGGACAAAAGGCGCGAAACCTCATGAAGTCCACCCCACTTTTCTAGTGCTCGTGCAATATCAAAGTGGCCTGCGAGTAAATTCCATTATGTACTACGAGCAATGTAGACAATAAAATTGAAGTCGAGAAAAGGAGTATTTCAACCTACCTACGTGTTCAAATGATTTCCTACTGGGCATAAACGTCCATTCTCCAGCTCCTTTGAAATCTACTTATTTGTATGTTGCTGCTGCAACATTCTCTTGGCTCTTGCTTCTACGTGTGGTTCTGATCAATTCACTTCTGAAGACTGATCAAGCTTCCAAAGATTAAACGCTGAAGATTCTAAAAACTCTAAAGAATCTCAAGTTAGATATTGATGTGATCAAGCTTCTGATTGATGATTGAAGTTTCTGAACTCAAGCAAAACCAACTCTTCTAACTCATGCTTCAAACAATGATTTATCCAGAAGCCACTGAAGAATAGAAGATAAAAACGAGTTTCTACATGGGAAAAATGGTACATGGTACAACCCAATATTCCTTCCACTAAGCGGATTTCGTGTCTCATTACCAGAAAGTTCATCTCAGGTTATCTAATGAAACTTGGCAATGTTCAAATACCATGAAAAATAAAGAAACAAGCCACAGTCTCTCGATCCTCAAGTGAGGCTGAATATCCTGCAATGACACACGCCACAAGTGAAATACTATGGCTACGTAATTTGTTAAGAGGCTTTGCAAGTTCCATGCATCAAATCCACATTTCTGCATTGTGACAATCAAACAACTCTTCATTTAGTTGCAAACCCTATCTTCAATGAAAGAACAAAGCACATTGAAAGTAACTGTCATTTTATCAAGGAACATGTACAATCAGGTGTCATATACATAACTTACCTGCCCACCAAATAACAAAATGCTAACATTTTTACTAAGTCCTTAGGCGTGAAAGTTTTTCAATACCCCATGTTGAAATTGGGTGTTCATAATCCTCACCCTCAAACTTGAGGGAGAGTATTAAAGATAAATTTAATAGTTTGTTATTATTTTGTTAGGGTTTTTTAATGATTGTTATTAGTTTGTTACGCTTGTCAGAGTTAATCATATTTTTAAGCTTTGAAAAATAGATCATCAGTAAGGTTGTTCATGGGTACGGGTCAACCCGCGAACCCACTCACCCAACCCTACCCTTATTCTTACCGAATCCAATCATGTACAGGTCTAACGCGAACCAACCCATTCAAACCTATTGGTATTTGGTTCAGGTAACAGATTTCAAGTTTTAAATCCATGAACCCGCGAACCCAATCCATTAATATGTCACATTATTTTTTATATATAAATTATCTAGTATAATTTTTACAAGTTATATATTTTTAAATATAATTATAGCTTTTATTAATTGTAAAAGCCTAAATTTAAATCAAATTTGAGAGATCATTGTTATTTATTCAAAGAAAGATATATTTTACATTTTAAATTATACTTTACATTATTCTTTATATTTTTCTAACTTTATATGAATCATAAAAGAGTTTTTAGGTATCAACCAATAAATTTTATTCAAATTGAATATTAAAAATTTATGATTTTTTAATAGTTTTGTAATATAAGTGTGTAAATTAAATTGATATATTTTATTTAAAATTTAAAAATCATATTTAATAGATGTTCCAGGAATCCAACACAACCAAAATCATTGATGGACGGGTTTGTTTGATTAGAATTTAATCTCAAAAGTACGGATTAAACACTCAACCTAATCCAAAAAATATTGATCAAGTCGAGTATTGAGTTTAATCAAATTAAACTCAATCCAACCTGCGAACATCCCCAATTATCAACCTATAAATATGTCATCTCTCAAAAAATAATAAAAATACATGTTAAATTATGAGTGTTGCCTGTAAGAATAGATTTTTAAAACAAAAAATCTCGATATATAAGATCGCATAACAAATTTTATGCATATAAAAAAAATAGTAATGTATTTAATAAATATAAATATATATTCTGTACATCTTAGACAAATTGATAATATATTTATAATGAGGGACAAGAGGAGTAAAGAAACAAAAAACTAAGCAGGTTATATATATAATTTAGTTTTACATTAACGTAACAAGAATAAACCAATTTAGTTCGATTCCCGGGTACGGAATATAATTTTTCAATAATAAACCAATTTAGTTCGCATTTTTCCAATTCTACATTTTGGCACGTATTAAAATGACTTTCTCCTATGGTTACCGTTATTTAGCTAGTAATAGTGGGGTCCATTGTTCTGTTCTTGTTCTTCCATTATAAACTCACTGTTTAATTTTTCTCTCTTACTTCATGACTAGTAAAAGTTGCAGCAGCATAGAAGAAAACATGATTGCCTATGAAGAAGAACAAGATATGCCTAAGTTATCATATCACCAACCACTTCACCTCTCTTCCTTTATCAGACATGTCAATTACAGGTCCTCTCTCACTCTTTCTATATGTATGCTTGTGTGTTTGTTTGTTTGTTTTGATCTTTCAATTTGTTTGCGGTGATGCTGATGCAGCTGTGGTTCGTGCGGTTATGAACTCAACTTGAACTCAAGCAATCGCAACACAACATCTCTTGTGGATTCAAATTATGGAAAATCAATTAAGAAGAGGAAGAGATCTCTCATTTCGTTCTTCTCTGTTGACGAAACTAGATTCACTCACATTCAACAATTCTCACTCTCCTGGATTTCATTTTTCAATTTCCAACGCACAGCAACAACAGCAACGAAACTACTCTGCCGCAACTGTGGAAACCACCTAGGTTATGCTCGCATTTTCCCTTCTCACTCTCGTTGTAATTCATGGGATGGTATCTCGGATTCTAGAACCTTCTACATCAAACTCAACGCCATTCAGCCTTCTTCATAACTCCTTTTCTTGTTTAGTTTCACAATTATAGAGAATCTCTCAGTGTCAATTATCACTGCATAATAGAAGAATAAATGTTTTTATTCCGTTAGAGTTAGTTATAACTTATTGTTTCTCATTTTTTTGAAAAAAATTGTATCAATGTAGTTCTATACTACTGTTCAATATGAAATTATCATATTTAATTCCCTTTCATTCAAGCTTTTTCGATCGTTTTTTTGTTCAATATGCAAATTTACACTTACAGACTCTGGATGATACATTTTCTCCCAATGATTTGGATAGAAAAGACTTGAATAAAACCAAGAAAGAAAGAAAAAAAAGTAAACTTAGTGTTGGAGAATCATGTTACTATTAACAAATGGTTGTATTATAAGCCAATACTCTCTTTACTCAACCCAATTTATGTCTAACTGTTTTAGTTCTGTATGCCACTTTTCGCTATCTACATCGGGTGATTCCATTTGATCATTTTCCTTATCCTTCGCAAAGTTGTCCTGACTGCTTCTTTTCCTCCTCGCCTTAAGGGACAAAAGGCGTGAAACCTCATGAAGTCCACCCCACTTTTCTAGCGCTCGTGCAATATCAAAGCGGCCTGCAAGTAAATTCCATTATGTACTACGAGCAATGCAGACAATAAAATTGAAGTCGAGAAAGGGAGTATTTCAACCTACCTACACGTTCAAATGATTTCCTACTGGGCATAAACGACGGGTCCATTCCCCAGCTCCTTTGAAATCTACTTATCTGCATGGAGAAATGAATTATGTTCTGAAAGAACCTGCAAACAATGTTATGTTTGTTAATATGGCAAGTGTGTACCTCTTCCTGCAAATTTTCAAGACTATCCCAGTAACCCTTTGGTTTGCGGTATTTGTAAGCTAGAGCGAGGTTCATCATGGTTGCAATCTTTCTGAATCCACCCATGCGAGTTATAGCCTTCTCAATATCCACTCTTCCATGCAACCGAAGCTGCTTTCTCATTGGCATAAACCCTTCCTGTCCATGTTCAGCAACAAATTTCAGTAGTTCAGATTTTAAGACTTCAATATCCCTCTGTAATCCTGGAACTCTTGATCTTTGAATAGACGAGCTTTGAACATTACAATCAGAAAAATCATCAGCTGAACTAGAGCTGTTATCATCTCCAGAGGCAGATGTAATATTTTCTTGTCCGGAATCTGTAGGCTGCTCACAAACTTCCGAAGATTGAGATGCTTTCTGGTTCTCAACGTAGTCTCTTATTGCAGACAAGTTTGATGGCAGATCTTCATAAATGACCTGAAACAAGAAATGGATACATTTCAGCCATTCAAGGGTTAGAAAAACTGTTTTTGTTTGTATTAGATAAAAAACAATAAGAAAATGATATAGATCATCCAAATCAAACTAATAGACAAAACCTCTTCCATGATTGCTTCAGAAAGGAAAGTATCTTTGCGCATTTTTGACTCCACAGAGTACTTTAGAAGTGTGTGATGATTTCCTAGTTGCTCAAAAGTCCATTTTCCTTGGAAGGAGTCGAAATCACCTTCAACCTGTTCAAAACTAATCTCTTGTTCTAGCTGTTCACACAAATCTAACACAACACGGGCGTGAAGCACCATATAAAGCAGGCCCTTGCACCCTTCCTGCACGGTGATTTAATCTAAAAATTACATCAATCACATACAATTGTGTGTTTGTATCAGTTTTTGTGCAGATAAAGTGGCCGGAAAATATACAGTTAAGAGCTAAGGTTGCTCCGTACCTGAAGAATGCGGACCTTATTGTTATCACGTGACAAAATCTTACTGATTGCTAAATTTGGAACTATTCTGCAACAAAATATATTTTTCCTTGGAGTTAAGTCGGGAAAACGAAAAACAAGACCTAGAAATATTTTACAGCATGATTTTCAATATATCTAGTGTAAGAAGGAAACACACATTACTTACTCAGGAAGCATCTCATAGGAAGACATAACATTCCATACATCAGAAACAGGAGCTTTAACTGTTATGCTTGCAACAACACACCGATGAACACCTCCGTTTTCCTTCAATTGAAAAAAAACATTTTCATTAGTATTTTCTACTATAATTCGTTTTAAGAGTGAAAGCCTCTAATAACAATTGAGCACATATAAGTTACCAAAAGTCCATCAAATCTGCGGAGATGAACTTCGTCCACTCCACAAGGCTTGTCGAGGCTACAAACTTTTCCAAATATACCCCAACTGCTGTTTAACTCACTGGAAGATGTAGGCAATGAACTGGAAATTGAAGTTTCCAAACCTTCCTTATCTTCTCCAGATGCCAACTTGTCGGTTTCATACAAAGAACCATTTATCTTTTTGACAGAAGATCCATTAAGAGCCAAAGCTTTGTGCAAATCATCTTCTGGTAGAGGAAGTTTCTGATTTCCCAAAATAGTCCTTTCAACTCTATAGGCTAAGGCTCGAAGATTCACAGGAAGATCTGATCTGATAATCCTTTCCAAGAAAATAGCTGGGAAGTTGAATCTTGGTATCACATTAACCTCGTAAGATAAATTAGTCGACGATGATCTACAAAAAACACAAATGAAGTATCTAAATTCATAATATAATTTCTTCATATTATGCAAGGTTTGCTTATTAACTTTCATATGTATAGATTCTACCTTGTTCCAGATTTTACAGACCATTTTCCCTCAAACTTCTTAAAGTCTCCATCAACCATGGAAAAGTGAAGTTCTCGATCCCATTCCTAGAACATTAAATTTAGATATCACTACAGATGAAAAGTATCCTAAATTGTTTCTACTCTTCACCGTTATCCACGTCCCAGTAACACATAGAACTGATTGCTACAAGTACACACTATACAGTAACAAAATCAATGAAGAAAAATGAATATCACCAAATGCTTAAGATTGCTTACAGAATTGAGAAATTCTTGAAGATCCAAGACGACACGAGCTTCAATGTGCCAATACATCGCCCTTTGAAATCCTCTTTGCTCTAACCATATCCTTCCAGGAAATGGGCAAGGAATTCGCCCACTAACAACAAAACAACACTAGTATTGTCAGAGGCGTCTCGCAGACTCACAAGGCCTAGTTAAACCGCGGCTAAACAAGGCCTCTTACAATATTGTCAATATATTGCATGATTGGATTTTGTATTAAGCGCCTACACTATAAATGCTTATAGATAATCTATTTCTATAACCAAAGTCAAACTATTTTCATATTAGCTATAAAAACTGAAAACTGTGTTCATAAACTCTGACATAAGCAAATCCAAACAAGGCATTTATAGATTACCTCCAAACAAGATTTGGTATGAAATCAGCGAGGTGTTCATAATCAGTGAGAGCATTCCAAACGGAATTAATATCAGCATTGATAGATATCTCAGCCTTAACTCTCCGTTCCCTCCAAGAAACGACTTGAAGCTCACAGTGAACTTCACGGTCACCATCTTCTTCTAGTCCATTATTGAAACATCCTTCTTTACCATCGGAATGGCTTCGGGGTTTTAAGTGTGTTAGTGAGGAGAGAGCAATTCCCTTGTAAAAAAAGCGAGGGAAAAAGTGGAGACTGAGTGAGAGTAATGGTGGTTTGGAATGTAGGGAGGAGCGTAAAGAAAGAAGGTTGGCGGTTGAAGAAGAAGAAGAAGCAGCTCTGGATGTAGTGATCATTGAGTGAATGGAGTGTGAAGAAGAAGAAGAAGAAGAAGTAACAGCAGGTTAGTTGTTGTTACTGTTAATGATGTCTGATGACATATTGGCATAGGTTATGGTGTGGTCACATTGTGGCCACTGGTTTTCGGGTTGTTGTTATCTGATGGTGTTTACTACACTTTTGTACTTCTCAATTGGTGGTTCCAACTCTAGACACGTATATTTTCATAGTTAGGTTCTTCCTATGTATTTTCTTATTGCTATTCCATTCGAGGATTTAATTTTGGTGTTTCCTTGAGTAGGCTCTTTGCCTTTAAGATTTTATTATTCCTCAGTCACATTCTATACCATTATATACTAACATCAATGGAAATTTTATTTTTCTATTTAAAGAAATAGAGCAATCGTCAATAGTACTATTTAGTAACCTAATATGACAACAATAAAGAAATAAAGTAAAAATAATAAAGAATACAAAATAATTGATAACTCAGATTGGTTATATATTTAGAAAACATTATATCAAAGAAAAGAAATTTACTCTTTAATAGAAATAGTACAAAGTGTTTTAGATAAACAAATCTCTTGTTCAATGTCTTTCTTCTTAATTTTATCTTTAGTGTCTTTTTATTTAAAACTCCCTTTAAATATGAGATCATCCTCTCACTTTCTCTCAATCACTAACGTTAGTGATCAACAACAATAATCAAAGTGATCATTGTTGGATTACAACTCAACTACGCAGACCATTCATTTATGCCTTATGATATGAATTAAGAAATAACGTGGTGTATAATTAACAACAACAAATAAAGACCCGACCTAAAACACAAATAACACTAAAGCTCGATTAACTATAAATGTGTGATAGAGTCTTTATACATAGTGTAAGTTTTGTGGTTTTGGATTGGCAAAAATTTTGTTAAAATAGTTTTCAACAAGATGTTGAGACAGATGTCGTCACTAGTTAGTCAGACAACATGATCAACATGATGTTGGGACATGTGGTCAGGACATGTTATACCTGAAGTTTAAGTTTGAGAGATTTGTTATTTCAAGTGTGAGATTCCATCTTGCTTTAGTTCATTCATTGTCGCAATCTAAGAAGGGTAATTTTAGAACTTTTGTTCATGCCAGAAGTGCGTGTATTTCATAAAAATGGACTTTGAGACATTTAAGAAAATATGAGATTTGATTTGATTTGTTCCTGCAGAAGATTTGATTTAGACCGGGTCTTTATGAAATATATATTATGGATATGCATTTAATAATATATTATTTTAAAAATATTATGGAATTTAATAATATATTATTTTACAAAATATTATGGATATGCTATTTAATTTAACCCGA